TCAAATAAAAAAGTTTCACATACAAGAATATGCTTTGGATCGTTCAGTTTGTATGACAGCTATATGTTATAGTGATCCGATCTGAACAATATCTTCGGAGAAGAAACCTTTGATGTGGATAATAATGCATACCGAACTTCGTGATGATATCTCATCAAATAAAAAAGTTTCACATACAAGAATATGCTTTGGATCGTTCAGTTTGTATGACAGCTATATGCTATAGTGATCCGATACTAGCGAGTCCGACAAATAAGTAGCATCTCGAGGAGAAAAAGATGTGTGCAAAATTTCAGAACGATATCTCAAAAACTGACAGACGGAAATACGGTCTTGACAAAACGGGTCAGCTCACTTGGTTCCAAAACTGTTGCAACAAAATTATTTCAATCAAATAGGTTTTCGCCCACATTTTTGACTACATTTCGGTTTTAACTTCAAACACAATTTCTTTTATTTAATTTTTTTATTTGACTAAACGCTCGCAAACGTATTAGCCGCCTCCGCTTCGACAATGCGTCGCATACACAACTCGAATTTTGTGCCGAAATTTAATCTTGGCAAATGGACGTGGAATAAAAACTTGGAGCGCTTGGAATTTGAGCCCATCAAAGATGCTGAATTGGAGAAACTAGATTATATCAGGACGTGCGGCTTCAAATTCAACAAAACGCTGAATCAATTGGAGGAGTTAATATTCCTGCAGGAGTTCCAGCGCTCCGAACTCACACACGATGCGGATGTCATACTCGTGCAAGACATCAAAAATCTTGTGCTATTTCTGGCGCCATCCGAGACCATCACAAAGGATTTCGTGCTCTTCGTGCACACCTTCACAGTGGATCGTTTTCTGCGCACGCTCATCATCTACTTTGAGTACTACTTGAAGATGGTGGAGTTCGTGTTGATACGACGCGATGAGATTAGCGGCGATAAGGCGCAAATCCAAAGCGAGGACACCAATGAGATCAAGCGCATCTACTCGTCGTATCTCACATAGATGTGTATAAGAGACAGCCAATGAGATCAAGCGCATCTACTCGTCGTATCTCACACAGCATCGGCTGCTGTTGGCGCGTGAGTATAGCATCATCATAGCGGGCGATGGCGAAATGAAGCCCTTCTACCACATTACGCCCATCGTCAATATATCGCAATCGATTAAGGATAAACGCTTTCACGAAACCTTTTTGGCCTTCTCCACACAAATGGTGTGGATTGCTATGCATCGACGCGCCTACGACTACATCGATTTGGAAATGTATCGACTGTTTCGCTCCGAACACTTCAAGCTCAAACGCTATGCGCACATCAACTTCACCGAGGCCGAGGCGAATATGCTGTACGGCAAGAATTACAAGCGCGTCAATTATCGCGCACAAAACTCACCGCTCATACAGGAGTTGGCCAATGTGTCCACCGAGAATTTGCCCATACTGTGGATTGGCGAACGCAAGTATCGCGGCACCGATTTGCGCATACACCAACTGGAGCTCGAGTACATTGTGCCGGATAGTCAGTTGACTTTGATCGATGTGTGTCATGGCATACTCGGGCATCCGAAGAAAATCTACAATACGCTGTTGAACATCAACTGGGAAGAGGTGCGCTTCCAGAACTATTCGCAAGTTTATGATCCGTACCAGTTGGTGCGTCAGCCGGCGTTGAAGATACCGCGCATCGATGCGGAGAAGATACGCAAACATGCGCAGAAATTCGACACCTATTATCACGTGCGCATGCAGTATGAGCGCGCAAGCAAAGCGGTGATAGATAAGTGGTGTCGCCGCGACGCCGTCATTGCGTACTTCACCACGGAGGGCATGATTACGAACATTGTGACGCGCTGCGAGAAGGAGCTGGAAAGGGATTCGTATGGACCGAGTGTGGAGGAGATAACGAGCAAGTTTTTGGCACGCAAGAAATTGTTGCGGAAACTATAGCGGATCGTACAAAGTAGCATTTAAAGGAGGGCGCATCGGATCGAAGACAGCTGGCAAGGCGTACCATATTTTTTAATTTTTTTTTTATATTTTCTCTGATGCGAATCTTATTAAAAGCGCGTCATGCGTTCGGTATACAGACATTTCAATAAAATTTGAGGTTAAGTATGCTGTATTTGCATGAAATTTAAATTTAACGGTAATTGTCAACATAAGATTGAAGAAAGCACAGTTATAATTCAATAAAATATTTCTCAAGACAAGAGTTGTGACACTATAAACGTAGTTCCTTGCTGAAATAATTTTGAATTAAGCGAGCTGTATGTTCGATTCACCACTCGCGAAGCTTTAGTACATCCGTAAAGGCTAGAACCTACATACAAATTTATGCTATACTAATTTCAGGCTTATATAATAATAAATTCTTAAACAATTTGTCAAAAATCCGCTTTAAATTGTTTTTATATGCAAAACAATACACCCACCCTAATGTTTAGCAATCTTTTGGTATACACATATGTATGTAGGAACTTCAATAACATCTATATAAGGCTTAAAAGCAAAAATATTTCCAACTTAAAAAATCATCGCCCCAACCTAATGTGTAATTATTTTTCGCTAACACATAGATACTTTGATTGCTTCAAAAGACTATATGTATAAGACTACAAAAAAATGAATTGCACTTTAAATAAATTTGGTTTTAATATGCAAAATAAATTGACGCACCCTAATGTATAACTATATTTATCTCAGTAAGAACTTCGGTATATATATAATGACATCTATAAAAGACTTTTATAAAGTATAATCACATTTTAGAAAATTGTGTTTTCATACACGACGAAAACTGAGCCACCTTAATGACTAATTACTCTTTGTACACAAATACATATGTAATTGTTTAATATCGTTTCTATAAGGTTTAAATTAAAGAGGATTTCAATCGGAATAATGTGGTTTTAATAAACACAGAAAAATTCGAACCACCCTAATGTAAAATTATGTTTTTCCTACAAGTATATCTGTAATATTTGCATAAAAACATATGTATTTATATACGTTTTAAAGTGACAAGAATTTCACGTTGAACAAGTTTGTTTTCATACGCATTGAAGATCGACACACTCTAATGTGTAATATAATTATATTATATTATATTATATTATATATATGATATACACAAATGCCTTCCCATATCTATTTAAGCCCATTTATATAAAACGTATAAAACGAAAATAAAAATGTTGTCTTCCTACGCGAAGAAAGTAGACGCACCCTAATGTATAATTATTTTTCGCCGACACATACACTCTTCATTATCCATATACACTTATAGAAAATAGAATTCCACTTAAAAAATTTTTTAATACGAAAAAAAACGACACACCCTAATGTCCAATTACACCTGTGAACAATCATATCTAATATAAGCAAACATTCACTACCACTTTTGTCTGCACTTACTTTGACTTTGATGTGCCAACTTGTTGCTGCAGTTGTTGTTGTTGCTGCTGTTGTTGTTGTTGTTGCTGTTGTTGTTGTTGTTGCTGCTGCTGTTGAGTGGCAGCCGTATAACTCTGCAATTTACCACCTGTTGCCGTCGGTGTCGACCACTGTACAATTTGTGCCTGCTGCTGTTGCTGTTGTTGTTGCTGCTGCTGATCCGTACCACCGGTGCCAGCGGCGTTGGTGGTGGCAAAACCATTTTGCATTAGCGCCGCCAGCCCAAAAGCCGTATTCAAGTGGTCTTCCGATTTGAAATTACCGCCTGTCGTGGCGACGACCACAGAACCCTCGCCTTGTTGTTGGATTACAACATTTGCCGCGGCGGCAGCTGTTGCCGCTGCATTGACGGCATTAGCGGCATTGTTCTCATATTCGATGGTGGGCGCAGCGCTGCGATCGATCTGCTGAAGAAGGTGCAGCGCCAAAGGAAGCCAAAGCAAAGTGAAGAGAAAAAGCGAATAAGAAAAAAGTGATAAAGTAAGCAAAAAGGCAATAGAGGAGTGTGTGTATATGTATGTATGTATTTGTTTTATGTGATGTGTATGTGTGTGTCTGTATTTTTGCGGCTGGCGGGCATGAGTCAACCGCAAGCGCTGCTGTGGCACTTACCAAATTCGTGAATGAGCGCTCGCCCTCGGGTGCTGTGGGCCCAGTGGTCGCCACCTGCGCAACCGGTGTGCCCAATGTATGTAAACCATTTCCGGTCTCTTCCCCATATAATTTACGTGTGATTTCTTTGAACATATCTTCATAAGCGGCCTCAACATTTGAGGACGGTATTAATGTTGCCATGGCTTATAGAATGCGCGCGTTGCAATGCTGCTACAACTACAAATACGGGCCGTCAGAAACTGCAGAAGAGAAAGAGAAAGAGAGAGAGAGAGAGAAATTGCGGTTAGCAGTGCGTATAAAAGATATGTGTATGTGTATGTTTGTATGTATGAAAGTACTCTATAAATATGCCAACTATCGAAAGGGTTAGTTCAATAAAAAGTCTGTACAAAAAATATATTGAGCAGAGCAGCGAGTCATCGGTCGTCGACAAGAGAAACCGTTCGTCAAATAGCCAGCACACATCCGTTGAGTTTCAATTTGTCTTACTCGTCTTTTTTGTGACTTGGACGTTGTTTATTTGCGCCGCCTTTAAAAACGCCTGCCTTTTAAAAGTCACATCAGACGACGGGCAAAGTATGAACCCCAGCTGCCCAGTTTTGTGGCTTGTCACTTAGCCTTGGCTTCACTCTACTTCATACCACAGGCCTGCATGTATGTATGCATTCGTGCGGCTGTGTGTGTATGAGTGTTTGTGTGTGATGGCGTGCGGGCGGCGTGTAAAAGTTAAATTGCCAACGACAGCTGACTGACATTTCCAGGAATACCAACGCTGATACATGATGCGCTGCGTCAAGGCAACAAACGGCTACAATAGCAACAATAACAAGACAGTTGAAAAATGAACATAAAAATGCAGTTGACGTTAAGTGAATGGCTGTGGCACAAAATATACACACATACATGCATAGAAATGCAGGTATGCGGACGGCTTGCTGTTGGGATGACATTAGCGCTGCTGCCGCGCAGATAAGACAGACAATCGCCATTAAGCAACAACAAGCAGCAGAACAGCGTAAAATGGCATGAAGCTGGGCTGCCACAGCCGAACTGCTGAGTCATGTTTCGTAACAATGCCTTCAAGCCCCCTGCCACCCCTAAAATTTCCAATAAAACCAACTTGCTTGACGGACACCCACTGGCGGTGTAGGTGTTAAAGGAATTTATACAATAAAGTGCTGAAGCGGGCAGAAATCGCGTGAAATAAATTTACTTTTCATAATGCACAAATTGAAGCAATGTGTTTGTGTTGAAATTGTTGACTGAAATCAATCTTGACGAACGGCGCGAAAATTTTGAAAGAGCTGTCATATTCTCATATGGTTTTATATGGAGCTTAGAGGGCGTGTATTTATTGCTTCAAAGGTTTTTTGTTTCAAGAAAATGTAAAAAGTCGATTGACGATGTCGATTTTGGTGTGAATGTAAAATATTATTACAACAACATTTTATATTACTATTTTACAACAAAGTTGCAACTATAATTGCAAAATGTATGAAAAAGATAGATTGAAATATTGGCAGAGATATAATAAAACAATTAATAAAAAAATATGAACAAAAATAACAAAAATTAAAAAAATAA